TGCTGGGATTTGAACTCAGGACCTCTGGAAGTGCAGTCAGTGCTCTTAACCACTGAGCCATCTCTCCAGCCCATGATAACATTTTCTTGTGAAACATTTGGGGTTCAGGAACACTAGCATCATAAAATATAAGGTAAGGGACTTTTAGGGGAGTGTGACACTTAAAATTTAGCTAATTAATTTTATTTAGGTCTCAATTGGGCAGTTAAATGAACACACATTATATTTAAATTTTTCTTGAGTAAAGAAAAATGTCATGTCAACCTTTAAAAAAGATTTTTTCAAACTCTTCATTCTTCTAGGTCATACATAAGGTTCATCTTAAGACAAATCATGTCACAAAGAGAGACGCTGATGGGCAGTTACGAATCAAGACCATCTATGATCAGAGCATCGAAGAGTAAGTTTGCTGTTCCTTCGCTGTTTGTTTATTGTTTGTTTGCGACATCTTCCTGTGCTGCCCAAGCTGGCTGTCACCTCATCATATTGCCCTGGCTAGCCTCAGACTTACTCACTGCCTCAGCCTGGTCGTCTTTTTTATTGTCAGTCTAAGTATTAAAGATATTTTCATGGTTATGTAACAGAATATGCATAGACAGAGCTAGAGAAAGTTGGTGTAACTCTAACACAGAAATGAGTTGAGATTGCCTTTCATTCTAAAAGGGCATAGGCCTTTAATTAATTAAAAGTGCCTATCATGAATAGTTTAAAGAGAACCAATGTGGCCTTACTTGACTGTGGCCATAGCAGACCTGGAAGACACTTGTCAGTAAGCATTCAAAGGAAACATAAGAGGAGAGGCACGTATAAACTCTAATGAAGAAGTTTGCAGAGTGATTCAGTAGGTAGAGTCTGTAGTCTAATTGGTATGTCGTCTGAGAACAGCCCAGACCACATACTGGGATCTGAGGTAGCTGATGCACTCCTCAGAGAACGGTCCATGTCCTTCTCCAGCCTGACCATTCTGAATGAATGAGCTAGTGTATGCCCATGCTTAGTTCCATGCTTGGGCACAGTGTAATATCTCACATACCTGTGAAGGTAAGCCAAGACTTTGGAAGCCGTGTGCTTATACATCGAACTTAGAGCCCTTGACAGATACCATCCTGACAGCTGGGGCGGTGCTTGAGTCAGTGCGGCCATACTTTTCTTGTGTGGTAGTAGAGACTGAACCCAGAGCCTTGTGCCCACTAGGCATGTGCCTTGCTACCAGGGTATGTCACCAGCCTTTAGAGTGGTAGTTCTTATGTTTTTCTCCTCATTTTCAGGTTGCTCCCTGAGAAAAGATATCTTGTAAAGGTATGTAATAATAAATACTCATCAGTTGGATACTTCAAATAGGTACATTTTATTATGTGCTAATTCTTCCATGAAAGGAAACACATATACATGGCTGATTTGTGAATGAATGAATAAAAGATTTGATGGTAAATATATTTCTCATTTTAATAAAGGTGTTTTTTTTTTAAAGATTTTTTTTTTATTTATATGAGTACACTGTAGCTGTTTCCAGATACACCAGAAGGCGGCATCAGATACCTTTACATATGGTTGCTAGGAATTGAACTCAGGACCTTTGGAAGAGCAGTCCGTGCTCTTAACCACTGAGCTATCTCTCAGCCCACTTTTTTTTTTTTTTTTTTTTTTTCGAGACAGGTTTTCTCTGTGTAGCTCTGACTGTCCTGGAATTCACTCTGTAGACCAGGCTGGCCTCGAACTCAGAAATCCGCCTGCCTCTGCCTCTCAAGTGCTGGGATTAAAGGCAAGTGGCACTACTGCCTGGCCCAATAAAGGTGTTTTTGTGATATGTTTAGCAAAACTTCATTGGTATTTGACATTATCGTTTTATAATTTAATATTAAATCAGTTTTCTCATCTTTTTTTCTTTCTTTTTTTTTTTTTTTTTTTTTTGGTTTTTTTGAGACAGGGTTTCTGTGTGTGTAGCCCTGGCTGTCCTGGAACTCACTCTGTAGACCAGGCTAGCCTTGAACTCTCGAACTCAGAGATCCGCCTGCCTCTGCCTCCCAAGATCTTTTTTTCTTGATCTGTCAAGTTTTGGGGGAGCGATGTGTGCTAAGGATAGGCTTCCAAAGATACTTTTGGCAATACATGGGAAGTACCACTCTCTGGATGGGAATGCTCTTTGTCCTAAGGATTAGTGGACATGGCACTGTGGCAAGGCAGAGGCACTGTTACCATCACTACTGTGTGTGTGATGTGAGTGCAGGTGCACATGGAGAGGCCAGTCTTCAGAATTGTTCTCTCCTTCCCTCAAGGCTTCCAAGATTCAACTGGGGTCATCAGGGGTCAAGGCTTGATTGGCACATGCCTTTACCCACTAAACCCTGTCACCAGGCCAAGAGTTTTTTTACATAGATTCTATGTCATTAAGGTGTATGTGTGTATGTGTGTGTGTGTGCGTGTGCATGTGTGTCTTCTCATGTGCATATGTGTGTACATGCTCACAGGCACATGCCTGTGCATATACAGGTACAGGCGGAGGTCAGAGAACCAACTTTCAGAGTTTGATCTCTTCTTCCATTGTGGGTCCCTGGGGTGGAGCTAGGATCATGAGGTTACACAGCAAATGCCTTTACGTGCTGAGCCATCTTGCAGTCCCGCATGAGATTTTTAACTGTGGAGTCTCACACATGCATATCAAGCCATCTCATGGCCCACAGAACTTAGTGAGCTTCTACACAAGATAACCACTAGTAGGTGGAGTGTACATCTTCACTAGTGTTCTCAGTCATGAGAGCTGAGATTTGTTTTCTAGGGTGTACAGTGAACGGGGAAGTTTCTGCCTAGTGCTCTGTTCCCAAACTCCACTAGAGAACGCGTCATCATTGCCTCATAGGTTCTCTCCCCGTCTCTCTGCTGCCTTATGGCCTAGGACAGGTGTCCGGATCCCAGAATCCTAGCTTCCTTACTTGTTCTTATAGTCATTAATAGTCCATGTTTGTTTTCTTAAACACACTCTACTCCATGACCGTCATTCTAACTAGATTTTTTTTCCTCTTTTATTTAGAACAAACTTTTCCCACAAGCTATTTCCTATTTAGAGAAGACATTTCAGGTTCGAAGACCTGCCGGCAGGATCTTACTTAGCAGGTGTGTGACATTAGACATGGATCATTACCTCCATTCAGTTAGCCCCATGACCTTCCCACTTACCAATGTGACAGTGCACGGGACTTACAGTAGAATTTTATTAGGTGTGTTTTTAGAAACTAAACTACAAGCTACTTAAAAAGATTCAAAAAGCACCCACAGAATGGCCCTTTTCCTGCCTTCCCGTTATAAGCTGTTCTTGTCCCTTCTCCTCCTCTTCCTCTTCCTCCTCCTCCCTCCTCCGTGTGGTTGTGCTGTTTGCTTTGTGAGGTATTTGATAACCCAAGTCAAGAGGACTTCTGTAAAAGTCTCTTAGTGAACTGGCTGGCTAGTTAAATAGTAACCATTCCTAATGGAGTAATGTATGGGTGCCTTAGTTACTTTTCTATTGTAGTGATAAAGCCCCATGACCAAGGCAGAGTTTATTTGGGGTGTGTGATTCAGAAAGTTAGGGTCCATGGTGCTGGAGAAGTAAGTGGCAGGCAGCAAGCAGCTGGGTCAGCAGCCAAGAGCTCACATCTGGGACCCACAAGCTGGAAAACAGAAAGTACACTTGAAATGACAAAGTTGTTTTGAAACCTCTGTGCCCCAAGTGACATACTCCCTCCAGCAAGACCTCCCTGAACAGCCACCAATCAGGGACCAAGTATAAAAATGCTCCAACTTACTGGGAACATCTTTCAGGCATCCACAAGTGCATGGCTGTATTTTAATTGCTGTTAACTATTCTTTTTTTGTAAATTTTGATATATGAATAAACCAAAGACAATGTGCGACAAACCAGTACCTACGGAAAGAAAACGATCCACACAGATACTGTACTGGAGAGTGTGCAGTGCATACCAAGTGTGGGCCTGTTATCGTGCCCCAGGAGCACCTCCAGGTAAGTCTCCCTGTGCTCGGCCGGCCTTGCTACTCCAGAGGGTAAAGGGACGTTCCAGAGCTTTCTCAGCAAGAGTTTTTAGATAAAAGTGTGAAGGCACAGTACCTCCTTTGTGGTGCTCTGGAGCGAATCTGAGGCCTCCTGAGTGCCAGGCTAGTACTCTGCAGCTGAGTTACATTCCCTGCCACTGCGACTCCACTTTCTCCCAACAGCTGATGCAGGAAGGGTTCAGAGCTTCAAAGCGTTACAAGCCGGTTTGATCTGCTCTTTGGTTCATTTATGCCTGGATTTCCTGCAGCAGTTTAGTTGCGAGCCTTATCTTTTTTTACCCCCTAGAACATTTCTTTTAGCACTTTAATATCTCCTAAAATATAAACTGTCAGCTTCAACCCAGGTTTGCACTTTATTCCATAAAAATACCAGCAGCTGGCCAGGTTGTAATACATACATCTGCATACTGACTTGAAGAGATATTTAAGCTCTTTTTTTTTTCTTTTTTTTCTTTTGTGGTTTTGGTTTTTGTTTTAGTTTTTTGAGACAGGGTTTCTCTGTATAGCCCTGGCTGTCCTGGAACTCACTCTGTAGACCAGGCTGGCCTCGAACTCAGAAATCCGCCTGCCTCTGCCTCCCAAGTGCTGGGATTAAAGGCGTGCGCCACCACCGACTGGCTGATACTTAAGCTCTTTTTTTTTTTAATTTTTTTTTAATTTTTATTTATTTATTATATGTAAGTACACTGTAGCTGTCTTCAGACACCCCACAAGAGGGCATCAGATATCATTACAGATGGTTGTGAGCCACCATGTGGTTGCTGGGATTTGAACTCGTGACCTCTGGAAGAGCAGTCAGTGCTCTTAACCACTGAGCCATCTCACCAGCCCGATACTTAAGCTCTTAACTGAAAGAAGAAAGGTTCGAAGAAAGGGTCTAGTTAGCCTGTTTATCTAAAACATACAGATGTGCAAATGCAAAAACAAAACAAAACCCTATGCAGAGAGCCTGGGTGGAGATAACATCTGTAATCCCAGCACTTGGAAGACAGAAGAGGCGACTCAGATTTGGCTTCAGCCTGAATTACATAGCAAGATTATCTCAAAAAGCAAAATAAATTAGACAAAGGAATAATATCTGGAGGAATATTGCAATCAACACTAAACAATCTAGGTCAGTTCAGATGCTAATTCTATTTATTTATTTATTTATTTATTTATTTATTTATTTATTTTTTGATTTTATGTGTATGGTTTATTTACCTGCAGAAGCATGCATATATATATATATATATATATATATATATATATATATATATATATA